TGCAGGTTCCCGATACTGCACAGACCTGGGGCGGCATTCACATGGAATCCTACTGGGGTTGTGCTCTGGGAGCACATGGTGGTGCCCCTGGAGGTGTGCAGCCGTGTCCCTGAGAGCCCCCCAAGTCCTGTGAAGTCCCTGCTGCCGCTAAAACTTGTTACTCCACGCGAACTTTCCCTCCACACCGGTCCTGAGGGCCTCTAGGACACCTCCTGCCCCAGAATTGGTAAGAATAAATATTCAAGTGAAGGCAGCAGTGACCCACTTATTAGCAGATGCCACAGCCCCAGGGCACAGTGGCTGATGCTGAAAGAACAAAGAGAGAGACGTGGCAGGGGAAGGGGGACGTCCTTGGGAAGAAGCCCTCAATTACAACACTACTTGAGTGAACGGGAGAAGTCAGTGTTCCCACCTAGGAGCGAGGGGCAGCAAGAAGACAGCGAATCAACCAGACCGACCAGCAGGATGTGCAGACTCGAGTCACTGCACAGACACCATTGTCAGGCGGAATCGCCTCAACCCTCCGCAAAAGTCACGCTCCAAGGACTGACGAACAGGCGCGGCCTGCCCCCTCCTACTCGGGCCTGGCATCGGGGCCACCCCGCTGGCCCAGCAAGTCTGTGTCACCAGGGCCGGAGGACAGGGCTGAGAGGTTGGAGAGCGGGGATCCCATCTCTGCCTCAGCTCTGTGACCCTGAGGAAGTCACGGACTCCGAGTGTCAGTTTTCTTTGCTGTAAGATGGGATGGTGTCATGGACCTTGCTGCGTGGCCGGGAGGACAAAACCAGAAATGAGAAAGTAGCTGGTAATATAATAGCTACGCCAATGCAAGACAAACCACAGGGGAAGGACCAGTCACAGGCTGGCACAGCACTGCCCTGGGGGTGCGATGCTCCCTTCTCCACCCTCATTAAAAGGACGCCTTCCCCTCGAGTGGTACTGCTTTAGGAAGAAACATTTGGCTCTACATAGGGGACTGCATACTACTTTGCTGTCTAAGTGTTGCAAATGGACAGAGGCAAGAGTTGCTGTGTAAGACTGAGCCAAGACAGAATCAGAAAGCACGGTTTCTTGGCACAGAGAGAAACCAGGACGCTCGGGGAAGGCGCAGAAGGACCCTTCCGATGTTAGCCTGAGCCCGAACCGCAGACTACGTGCTCCTCTAGGAGGGAGTCCCGCAGACAAAACTCTCCCCTGCGGTTCCCAGCACACATCCTGCTTCTTTGAGGGGGTGTCTGGAGGGAGTCTGGGGAGAACCCCCTCTGTCCAGCAGAGGGTGGCAGGTCATCTGCCAGGCACTTGCAGGCTGCATGTCTCTCCCTTGTCACCCATGTCCTGGAGGTGATCTCAGTTCCTGCGCTCAAGGCAAGATGGCAAGCCAGGGTGACCTTGTCCTGTTCCGAGGCAGCCCACGAGGGGTCCCCCCTCAATACCGCCAGTTCGCGGCTGACTCTCCAGCCAGGATGTGCTCCGCTCTGCCATCTGCGCTCCCGGCTCCGCACGGCCAGCGCCCGCGGGGTGCCAGTGACCCAGCAGCAGCATCTGCCCACGTGTAAATGGCGATGTGGCTCCTGTGAACGGCCAGGAGCTTTCAGCACTTGGGGAGCCCCACTGCATCCCCAGGGCTCCCAATGACTCCTGAGGAGAGGCCATGACAGGGCCCAGACCCTGGGCAGGGATGTGAGTGACAGGCTGGGAAGCCTGTGCATCTGAGGGAGTGAAACAAGAGTCAGTGGCAGTGCCCTTGACTCCAGGGGACAGTGATGCGTGTCCTGTTTCCCAGACACCTGGGACGATCCGATTCCTGGACGGGCCTGATTTATATACAAAACTGCCGCTTCACCAGTGGTCCCAGGCTCCTGCTCGCTGTACAGGAAAGAATGAAACGCTAAATCCTGGCTTTGTTTCCTACCAAAGCCAGAGAAGCTCCGCAGAGAGTCCCAAGATATCCCCAGCCTGGAGGCAAGGTTGCCGGCTTGAAAGAGTTGGAGCATCTAACACGTTCCCATTTTATCTTTCAAAGGAGCAGGAGGGGTGGTGGGTGGGGTTCTGAGACTCCACGGCCTGCTGAAAGCAGGTCCTGAGGTCAGCTCTCATGGGGCCTCATGACGGCCGAGGTCACTGCTGGCTCCAGCTGCGGCAGCTTGCTGGGACGCCCTGAGAGCACATGACTCACAGGACCCCCCACCTCACAGCGCCCTGGAATGTGGCCGCTCCACAAGGAAGGAGAGGGAGAAACTGACTCATCTCAGCTGCACTGGCAACCAGAGCGTGGGCGGAGGTCGCAGGGTGCAGGGGGAGGAGGAACTTCCCATGTGTTAAGGTCAAGGGCTTTGGGAGGCGGCTGGGAGCTGCTGGTGGAGAAAGCTTCCTTCTTACAAGTAATCACGATGCGGCACACAGGCCAGCCTCTGGAGAGAGCTAATACCCCAAATATTCTCATTCTGGGTGTGCATCGCAGCATTCCCAAGAAGGCACAGACGAGATCGTTTCCAGAGGACTTTCTGAAAATTAAACCACAAAATAAAAGCCTGTATCTTTATCCCCCAGACCTGCTAGCCTCTTAGCATTTCAATGAAGAAGTGCTCATTCGGAGGCCCTTGTACACATGCGGGCCGGACAGGCGCGTCGTCTCCCTAAGACAGACAGGTGACTGTGCCTGGGGTCGGAAGCGGGCTTAAATCTGCTCGCTGCCTTGCCCGACATTCTGGTGAAGTCTGGCTGGCAGCAAAATCAGAATGGCTGGTAGAAAGGGGTGCATGGGAGTTTCCAGAAGGGAAGGACAATCTTCTGAATGTGGAAGACTGCGGGGCAAGGGGAAAGGGGAACCCTCGTCCCCTGTGATCCAAAGAGGCCACCTGATGGAATGAAGACAGACGGATGCGCCCCATAGGCCAGGCTGGGGAGGGGAGGATGCCATCACCGCCTGTAACAGCGAGCTCAGGACAGAGGAAGGAAACCTACACCTGCCAACCCCTTCTTCTAGTCACTCTGCCCCTCCCGCCTCACCTAGAGGGGGAGGCCTGCCGAGGGATGGAGGGCACCCAGTACGTAGGGGCAGGAGACACTGGTCTGCAGAAGCCAGGGACCCCGGGAGCCACATGCAAAGGTGTAAAGTAACTCTGGAGACAATGGAAGGGTCCATCTGCTTTGAATTCCTCTAAACCAGGCATAAGAGCGCATCTGAACACGAAAACTTCTGAGCAAACCGAAGCCCCCAGCAATGGACTGAGGGGGTGGGGGGGTGGCGGGGAGAGAGGCGATCGACAACCCAGAGAGAACAGGCTGTTTCTGCTCACCCTTCCCTTCCTACTGCTGTAGCTTTTGCAGGCCTGGTGGCAATTAGCTTTATGAGTTATAAGTATAATATCTGGGAGATGAAGGCAGTAATTAATGCCTGTCTCTTTCCTGAAGGTTTCCTTCTGTTCGGTCAGAGAGTTATTGAGATTCAGGGAGCGAGGCTTCCATCATGTAGAAGCTTTACAGGAATAAGTGAAGGGACAATTTAATAAGGCAATAATAATGCTGCTAAATAATTTATCAGGCTAATGGCAGCAGCCAATATTCCAAGTGCTCCACATCTATTTTGCCAGTGGGATGTGCCAGGCCGATTGTGCGCCAACTCCAGGGCCCCCCAGGGAGATACCCACCCGAGAGGCCCTGCTACTGCCCCCCTGCCCTGACAACCCCCCTCCTCTGTCTCCTTCTGCCCACACCGGCTAGAGCTCCAGGTGGGTTGTTACACTTACTAATACTTTCGCTAACTTTACCAATCGCGGCTTGTTGAAATGCTAAGAGGCTACCAGGTTCTCCTAGATGCCCCAAATTACTCTGCCCACCCCCAAGTGGAGAAGTGGGGAAGGGTGTCAGGAAGTCAAATCGCTGCCCACCGGGCCTGTGGAGGGTGGAGCTCAGATAAAATTCTTTTAGAATGCCTTTAGGAGAACAGTATCTGAGCGTCCTCAGCCAGAGCTAAACGTGCAGAAAACAGAGACCACCTGAGTGCTCCAGAAACGCAGACAGGAAAACATGTCTCCTATGGTTTGGGCCACAGGATGCCTTTGGTAGGTCTATGGGGTGGGGCTGGGAGGGCAAAACAACCATTCAGCGAGAGGCTCTGGGGGTTAACAGATTCAGGCCCAAATAACACCGCTGGCAGGGCCTACGGGGATCTTTGCCAGGACAGGGATAATTAAGTTAAGAGGTCAACTCCCCAAACCGCGAACCGCTCAGCTCTCTCCGGGACCTGCCTCCCAATCAGCTAAGTGGCCTCGTGTCAAACCGTGTGTCACCTAGCACACCTGAATTTATGTCAGGGCTGAGGAGGACCAAGAGGAAGCAGAGAATATTAACAGATACTGCAAAAGGGAAAGAGGAACATTTCTGAGTCCTGCCGGCCCACCCGCAAAGCAAGCAGAGATAAATAACTGCCTCTGGTTTTGTATCTTGTTTCCTCTTCTCCCCTCCGCTCCACCCAGGCACAAAGCAGTCCAGAAGGAGCCTGGAGATTCCTCACCCTCCCTTGTCTGCGGGGAGCAGGGAAGACAGGGAGACAGCCGGGCTGACCCTTTCCTATCTGTTTATGGTCAGGGGCGACCTCAAGATGGCGCAGTCCTGATGCCCTGTCAGGAAACCCGGTGTCTACCTGTAGGCTCTTGGGCTGGCCAGGAGGGAGGTGAAAACACGGAAAATCAGCTCTGGTACTCTTACAGAGCTTTGCTCAGAGCACCCCTCAAACTCTCAGCTAAGTTTATAAGAGTTCACCACCCTGGAGCTGGCAACGACCTGAATGCCAACTCCAAACCACATACAACGGAGGCCTGGTCGCCGGGACACTCGGGGCTAGAGTCTCAGTGACACAATCCGTTTTCTACCCAAGACCAAGGCCCCAGGAATCAGCGAGTGTGTGGAGCTGTGCAGACCTTCCTTTATGGAGGAAAGTGTTCCACCTGGAGGTAAAGGTGGTTCAAATGCCCCTGGCCGCCCAGGAGGCCACTCACCAGGTAGATGCGGTAGGCGTCCACTCGGCGCAGGGGCCCCCAGCACAGGTCCGTGTCGTTGTACTTGGTGTCGGCCTCCACACCACAGGAGTCGTTGCCAGTGGCGCTGCTGATAAAGAGAACAGTGGCTCAGTGTGGCCCTCCCTGCTCGGCTGGAAGCACAGAGAATGTAGCATTATTATCAGCAGCCACTGAACCGGCCCTCCCGCCCCACAGCTGCTTTCCCGCCAACAACCTGGCTTTCCACGAACCACATTTGCCTGTCTTTAAGGGCATGCACCACAGGAAATGGCCCCTGGTGGGACGCCTTGTCACCTTCCCAATGGGGCAGGGCGGGGAGGGGGGGGGCAGCTGGGCGGAGCATGTCTCGGAAGGACAGCAAGCACAGCTGGCGGTGGTCCGTGCAGAAAAGGGCCACGTGTTGATGGGTCCCCTTGGTGTTGTGCTTCAGCCCTGATTGCCCGAGGAAGCCCATTGGGCTACACTGGTGTGGGGGGCGCGGGGGACACTCACCAGGACACCTGCATGAGGGAGAAGGGCACGGCGGCAGCATAGATGGCCAGGTCCCCGTACAGGTAAATGATGATGCAGAAATAGAACAAGTTGACTCCCACTGAAAGGGACAAAGTCATCGGTCAGGGAGCAACAGGGGGACGTCTGCGTGCTTTTTTTGAGGACTCAACGCCTACGTCTTCCACAGCTTTCGGTTCTCCAGGTTGCATATTTTTTCCAAAAAGAGTGGGAAAGCGACTCCAAAGTCCTGTTTCTTGTTCTGGCTGGCAACACTGTGATGCTGGCAGGAGGCACATCTACTCATGACTTTCACCCAAGTCGGGGCTAAGTGAGGCTTAGAGGGTTGGAGAGGTTCCGACTCCAGATGGGGCACGGGCGCCAGGTCAATGTGAGGTGTGGATGGGGGATGGAGGGGATGCCCCCCCCACAGCCAAACACAGGGCTCTAAGACAAAAGACTGCTATTGAAGAATTGAAAAGCAAAGAGAAGATAACAGGAAACGGCCCAGCTTCTGAAGCTGAAATCAAGAGTAAAAAGCCCTTATTTCCAAACACCAAGTGCCTCATTCTGAATCTGACCTATTGCCAAGCACCAGAGGGGCAGGGGCGGCCTGGGGGGCTGGGGAGAGGGAGCGGCAGGGGCTCAGAGCCCTCCTTACAAAGCACCTGAAAGGGAGGACGCTGGCTTTGGCAGGTGCACAGCGTGGAAGCTCTCTCTGAACAGGCAAGCCTGGGTCCCCTCTTCTGCCAGGAGGGGCCTGAACTAGGAGTTGGGGGTGCAGGCTCTGGTCCTAATTCCACTGGTCTCGCTTCCCAACACTGGCAAGTCCCTGGCTGCCTCCACTCCTGTACAGTGAGAATTCCACCTGAGCTAAATTCCCTATGTAACTCCAGCTATAAAGACGCTGAAAAAAGTGTCTGGGGCCCTACAACCTCAGGGTCACAGCCCGGACAGCCTCTCCCGTTCAGACTGACTGCTCATTTTTGATGTCACTGGTCTCAAGCTGTTGGCTTCACTGAAAACAGAAAGAAAAATGAAGTGACAGCTCCCTTCTAATGCTGGTGGCTCAGAAAAACCTCCAGGCGCCCCAAGGGAAAGCCAGGGACATATTTCTTCTGGACTATTTGAGGTTGGCTCTGTTCCTAGGAGTCTGTGGATAAAAGACGAGGAAAAACGGTTGCTGAAAGAACTCAGGAGGGCCTCAGACAGCCTCACTGTCCAGGCTCAGTGGCCCCTGGGGTCTGTCTGCCACTCACACCCAGGCTCCAAGTACAGCCTGTGCCCCAGCTTAGACAAGCTCTGACACCAATGCTCTCTGTAGGGAGGCACTGTCCCCTCCCCACTCCCAACCTTTCCTCCATCTGCCCATGGACTCCAGTGTCAGCTCTGCTTATAAACTGCCACTGGCCCTCCCTGATCAATAAATTTCATTACGAGACACAAAATGGGAGGATCAATGAATTTCCCGAGAGGATAGCAATGACTAGGCCTGGAATTTTTAATTACAAAAAATGAGTCTGGACCCCCAAGGGAGCCTTTTGTGGAGGGTGGCAGCCCTTCTCAGGTGAAGGTCACAACCTGTAAATTAGGAATAGAACAGAGCGGTGGCTTTTCCCACAACCCCTGCTGGGGACATTTGACAATGTCTGAGGACATTTCTGGTTGTCATGACTGGGAGGTGCTACTAGCAACTAGTAGGTAGAGACCAAAAATGCTACTCAGCATCCTATAGTGCACAGGACAGGCCCCCACAACAAAGAATGATCCGGCCCAAATGGCAACTGCGCCGAGCTTCAGAAAGCCTGGAGCAGACGAGAAGAAGGCTTCCTCTAAGGAGTCTGCTCTCCCATGAACGTGCTTATTTTCTATGCGACTTGGGTAAACTCGAAGTCTAGTCTGCAGGGGGAAAAAAATAACAAAATCACGAGTTCCTGGAATTCTTAAAGAAATCAGGGCAGACTGTAAAACATGAAAATTAGAAAGGAGGTTTAAAAGGCACATGTCTGCCCTCCAAAGTGCACTTTATTTCAAAGGCTTGCATTTGGAAGGCAGCTATGCTCACCACTATACCACCAACGCACACTCAAAGGCTTGCATTTGGAAGGAGGCCGGGTGAGGATTCCAGGAGGAAAGCTTTATGCTCTCTCAGTCTAGTGAGATGGGGAGAGGCAGAAATGGAACAAAGGCAAAGCCCAGAAGTGGGCAGGCACAGCCAGTCTGGTTTTCATGAATTCTGGAAACTCCCGTGAGGCTGGTCGTGGGGGATGGACTCAGACTCTGGCTGATGACCACGATCTTGCAGACTGGACCGTCAAATCACACCACCAACGATCGAAGGAATGCTTACTGTCCTAAAAAGCAGCTGAGAAGCTTCTAGTTTCTACGATCCCCACCCGGCTCTAAGTTATTGCAGCCACCTTCAAGACAGGAAGACCTGGTGGAGTTGCCTCCCTCTGCAAACAGGGCTTCCGACAAAGGAGCACAACACCTTCCGGGGTAACTGCAAACGCAAGGATTTATTAAGACGTGTCTGATTCTCTATGAAGGGAAAACGGATAGGTTTGGGCATTAAAAAACTAAACTCTTTACACAGCTCATCTTCCAAAAGAACAAGATTTGCCTTGGAGGTATAAGATGCTGTCACTGGAACGCCCAACCACTGAGCACCTGAGCTGGGCTGGACCCTTTCATCTTGAAGCCCAGCCTACTAAGGGGCAGGTAGAGTAGGGAGAGGTCATAATTAGACACTCTGATCCCCAGACAGCCGCCCTGTGCGTGGGCTCCTAGCGCCCTCTGCTGGCCACCTGGAAGAGCGAGCCAGAAATGCACACGCACAGGCGCACGTGCACAGCGTACCTGACCACTGTCACAAGGTAGTTGCTCTGTGTTGTCCTACACAGAACAGTCCAGGAGAAAAGGGAGACAAGTGAGAAGCAGTCAAGCAAGAAGCACAACACAACCAGCCGCCTGCAGGCCCCCTACCTTGGAAAGCTGCTTAGGAGCCCCACTTTATTCCTAACGGGGCACCTGGGAGGACGCTTGGAGCAGCCCAGGCCTCTCGGCAAGGTGGCTCCTCAGACGCCCTGGGAGCAGGTCCGCAAACTGCCCCTCCCCAGCGCCTGCCCCATCCGCCGTCAGGATGGGACCCCCATTCCAAGTGCCCAGGTCTGTAGGGAAGGACCAGCTCTCCCCGTGCCCTCGCCCCACCTTGAAAAGAACAACTTATACCTTTATTGAAGAACATGGAGGCCATCTGTCCCATTTCTACCCGGTCTGTGATTTCAAACAGGTTCGGAGAGCCACGTCTCTCTGTGGAGCCAAAGGACAAGAGCAGGCGGTTTGTTCACTTGGAAAAGCTCCCAGAAGGGGGCTGTTGAGCTCACTGAATTCTCTAGAATAATGAAATCTCTAAGCATTTCAAACTCTTGAGAAAACTTGATCCCTAAATGCTTCCTGCTGTAAACACTTAAAAACAGTCTCTAGGAAGGCATCCCAGGGACGCTGGTTGCGGGGTGAGCGGGAAAGCGGGGACACAGCCCTGGTTTGGCCAGACCAGGGATGGGGCTGTCAGGCGTGCCTGCGCGGGCGCGCGTGTAAGGAGAAAGGAGAGAGGGCAGAGACCTGACATTTCCTCGAGCTTCCAGTGTGCACCGGGCACTGAACCAGGTGTTTCATCATTTCAGTAACAGCGGGAGAGGTGGGAACTGGGGTGCTGAGCTTATGTAACTTGCCCAAGCTGCAAACATTAGTAAGCGGTGCAGCTGGCAGGGGTGAAGCCTGGACCCGGGCTCCAGAGCGCTGCTCTTCTTCCTCTTATCACGGTGCCTTCCTAGGAACCAACGTGCAGGCAGGAAGTGCCTGGGGTCTCTGCAGAGATGCCAGCCTGGGCCCGGGGCCTCTCCATGAGGAAAGGGAGCCTGCGGGCCAGAGGGAAGTGCATGCCGGCCCGGAGCCCCAAGACTTACGCACAGACAGGATGGGCCGTTTCTCTGCCCGCTCGTAGTTGTCCTGGATGACGCTGTCACTGTCAGAGGCTGTGGAGGAGTCCTCATCTTCCTCCTCCTGGGACGGGGTGCGACCGGGAGGAGGAGGAGGAACAAGGAAGGAAAAATAAGGACATTACTACAGAAAAACCCCGGGGCCATGGAGAACCCATTTCCTTTGTTCTTTCTTTCTAGAAGGCATCTGGTTAGGACGCTCTCAGCATGTCCATGCTGTCACATTAGAAGGCGCAGCCACACTCGGATGGTAGGTTCCTGGGTACAGAGGTTCAGAATGACTGAGCTAGGTCAAGGTTGGGAGGAGAAGCAGCCATGATGCGATGTTAAGAGAGCAGAGGCTCCATGGGTTTAGTTAAGCCTCGGCTCTGAGACAGGGCCCTGGAGTGGGGCTGTGGATGCGAGCCCTCCACGCCTCGAGGGAAAGAGCTGGCCGCTCAGGGCTGACTCTCTGACACACAGCTGGCCAGAGGCGCTGCCCAGAGACAAGGACACACACCTGGTGGTTTTCCATCCTCTTCCAATGGAGCTGAGCATTGGCGGCTGCCATGGCCTCCATCACAAAGGTAGTTGTCACAAAGCTGCAGGGAAAAGACGCAGGCAGGAGGTTGGAGGCGGTACAGAGAACGAGGAAACGCCATTTTGAGACCTGAGCAGACCAACGAGCCCAAAACATTCTCTGTTCCGAGAGCTGTTTCCCAGGGAACTTTCAAGATGGGTCTGACCTGATAAAAACACCTGTGTGCCTATGTGACCCCTCGTGTCCTTGTGTTCATGTTCCTGCGTACAGTTAGAATGTATTTCTGATGCACAGGAGAGAGGGGAGTGAAATAGCTGATGGGAAAGGGACTGAGCCTGGGGACAAAGGTGATGGGGCGATACAGTGCCACACGCCAGGAAGGGGTCTGTTGGGGGCAGAGGTGGGAGGGCAGACGTTAGCTGATGCTTTAAGTCGGGGAGAGGAGGCTGATTCACAAAGGGGTCCTCCCAAGGCTCTGGGAAGGGCAGCAGGCAGCTCTTAGCTGTCCTTGCAAGGACACAGACACGCAGTCAAGTCCCAATTACACACATAATGGACGGAACACAGGCACGGATAATTGAAAAGGAACCCTTGGCTCTGGAGTCTGTTCCCTTTTTTTGGCGAGGTGGGGGGGGGACAGTATTTTTACTTCCCTAATAACCTGGCTAATCTTAAAATAAGCTTGCATTTTTATGGCCTGCATCAAAGGGGAGATTGGGAGGTGGCAGCAGGCATTTGTTAAGTCAGACTAGAGTGAAAAGCCATCTTTTCTTTTCCTCATAAAGAAACTGGAGAGAACTAGACGACAGCTGGGACGCACAAATGCTTGCTTCTGTCAGCAGAAGGAACAGGGGAGGGCTGCCTTCCTGCTAATAAAACCCGCGGAACGGATCTATCCTTGCCGGGACGACCTGGGATGGAGTGTTCCTCTCCCTCTTTCTTGAGGCCAGCACGGCTCTGCGGCGGGTTGGGACCCTGAGCCCGAGAGCTGTCACCTGCCCCAGGCTGACTGCTCAGCCCTGCAGTCAGGTGGCAGGTGGGACAGGGGTTAAATCCACATCCACTCCATCCTGGGGCACGGGGCCAGCCAGCTCTGAAACTCCCATTCCAGTCTCCTTGGCACCTCCTAGAAAGGTTTCTCATGATTTTGCCTAAGTGACCATTTTCAGGGCTTTCGCTTTTCCCCTTCTTTTTGGAAGAAAAACTAAAATCAATCTTAATTACGGCATAAAAAGGCTTCTCATAGTTGCACAAAGCCACCTCATTGATCACGTTCAAATAAACGGGTTGAGCAAGAGTGGGGGCATGGCGGCCCCTACCTGGGGCCCCCAGTAATCACTGCCCATCCAGATGGCGGCCTGTGCTGAAGGTCCTTTAACGGGGAAAGCAGTCACAGAAGGACAAGGACTTCTAGGACTCCTGGCTGCCAGGGCTCGCAGTATGCAATGAGCCAGTGGTACCCTAAGGCTGGCCCCAACCCCCCTCCAAAGAAAACGTGTGAACAAACTGAAAAACACTGGCATTGTCCTATCTCATTCAGCCTCTTCAAGGTCTTAATTTGCTTCAACTGCTAACGCGTTTCATTCTTCTAGCAGTACCCACTCCTTTCTCCTTCCGATCTGCTGAAATGCTGCCATCCACGACCACTGACCACCTACTCAAAGCTTCCATCACCCCGCTCTACTCCCAATCCCCTCACCCCGCTATTCTTTGTGGGGTTTTGTTCCATATCACCCATCACCCATCACCCTGTAACTTACTCTACAGCTTACTTATTTAATAGTTTCACTACTTACGGTCTGTTGGTGAGCTGGTGGGCTCTTTGTTACGTTCCGTGGTGTACCCCAGTACCTAGGAACACTGCCTAGAACTACCTCTCCCAAGGGAGGTGGCCCTGGTGGTGTTTCTAGCTGTTCCCCCCCACCTTTTGTTTTGTTTTGCAGCTGTGGCTTCTTCCTACTTCCTTGGCTGAGGGGGCTGGAAATGCGAGCCCTGCACCCCTTTCTAGCCTGGGGCACAGACTTCGGACCGGTCTGTGGAATGCCAAGGAGAGCCTCAGGTAGATGCACCAGGTGGTGAACCCCACACAGCAGCTCAAGGAGTGGGCTCCCTGGAAGGCTTGGGAAGGCACTGGCCTCCTATTTGCTGTCAGGCACAGAGGGAGCTGAGAGTAACAGTGATTATGTGTGTGCCTGTGTGTTTATCACTTCCTCTGTGAACCACCTTAAGCAAATGCCAAATTACAAACTGATTTCCCTTGTCACCTGCAACGACTGTCAGATTCCTTTTCTGTGGCTGGGTGGTATCTTCTAAAAAATGCACACCAGGGGAGGTCCACCAGCAGGGGAAGAAACATGTAAGCACCGCGTGAAATGTTCCGAAGCCTAACCGGAAGCCTTCGTTTTTAACGGATCAGGGTTGTGTGGCTGCTCCAATAGCACCAGACACTGGGGACCTTTGTATCGCCTGTCCTCTCTCCAGGTCACCCCGGTTAGGACTCACCCCAGACATCTTCTTTTCCCCTGAGGACGCTTCCTACCGTTAACAGGTTTCCGGGCAGGCTCCCTCAGTTTCGCCCCCAGCCCTCAGGCCCGTGTGACGGCCTCTTACCTCATGAAGCCCAGGAACACCAGCAGGACCAAGCTGACAAGCCACCCAGCACTGGCAAAGGCCTTGGGCATGGTGAGTGCGCCGGTGCCCACGATGAGGTTAAACATGTACACCAGTCCAACCTGGAGCCAACAGAAGCGACATTCAAGCCCAAAAATGAATTAATGTCTCCCCCCAATGGCTCCCAGGATGACCCTGGGCAGCAGCAAAACCGAGGCGGTCAGGAGGCCAGATGGATAGAGGGGAGCGGGCAAGGAAGGCGGTTCCCAGGTTCTCAGGAGACACACTCTGCTCCTGGACGCTGGGGGCCAAACAGTAACACGCCGACGACTCAAGTCCCACATTCCATCAACCTGCAGATGTTTGCGAC